ATTGTTACTAGGAAACTCCCCCCCAACAAATTGTAACATATACAAATATGTCTAAAACAAACTGGCCTGGTGTCAGACTCCACGAATCTGAACCAGCCCGGCTAAGTCAGGCTGAACTGAGTTTCCTTCTTATCTCGATCAGATATTTCTCTACTGACCATGACTCTTGCCATGACCCTTTCAACAACCATCTGCAACTTCAGGTCCAGGGGATTTGAGACTCCCTCCTCTGTCTTCTGTGGGCACTTTAGACATACATGTAGGCAACACACTCCTACACATAAAATAAATAAATCTGAAAATTATTTTGAAACAAAGAAGTGGACTAGTTCCTTATCTTATGAGTATGGCTTTGATTCCTATCTTTAGATTGACAGATTTCCACTACTCTAGCACAAAAGAAGTAAGCAAATATCAGGGAAGTTGGTGATTTGAACAAAGTTAGGAAACAATGCTAAGGGCAGTACACAGGGAAGCATATTTGGAAATATTTGAATGTGTAGGCATATTACTTTACTTCCATGCTGGTGTCATAGCCAGGAGAAATAAAACCAGCTGCTTTAAGGAATGATCCCTAATGTGAGTGATGAATCATAGTTTGCCCTTATGTAGCCTCTTATTGTCCAAGTGAATCTATGTGAAAGGAATGTAGGCAGGAAGAGCTTCTCTTCACCTCATGCCTCATAAAGCTCTTCTGCATGTTGAAAGCCAACATTGTATAGGAGAGAGAGGTAGGGAAATGATTGGAAGATCAAAGATCTTACAGATGGCCAGGTGGTGGTGCACAACCCTTTAATCCTAGCCCTCGGGAGGCAGAGGCAGGTGGATCTTCATGAGCTCAAGGCCAGCCTGGTCTACAGAACTAGTTCCAGGACAGCTAACACTACACAAAGAAACCCTATCTTGAAAAATTATGCAGTCGATGGAGGCTTAAATGATGAAGTTTTCCTCCCCAACTCCTTCTTCTCTCCACACCCCTCCTCTTCTCTCCTTCCTTTTCTCTCCTCCTTTCCCCCTCTACTTCCTCTTCCCTCCCTTCTCCTTTCCTCTGCTCTTCCTTCTCTCTCCCCCTTCCCTTGTCCCTTTCTCTTCCCTCTCCTTCCTTCTCTCTCCATTCTCATCTCCCCTTCCTTCTCTTCTCTCCTCCTCTTCTCTTCTCCCCTCCTTTTACTCCCTTCATTTTCTTTTTCCTTTTGTTCCCCTCTCTCTCTCTCTCTGTAAAATATAGTATATGAGTGTATGTGTGTATGGAGAGAGAGAGGCAGACAGTCTGGTCATCATCTATCACTGTTTTTGCAACAGGGTCTCTTGTTGTTTGCTGCTGTGTATATAAGCTGGCTGGCCTTCCAGCTTCTTCTGTCTCCCATCTCTCTGTAGGACTACGGGGATTATAGATGCCACAGTCTGGCTTTATCTGGGCTCTTGGGACCCAAACTCCAGTCCTCTTATTTGTGCATCAAGCACTTTCCCCCTGAATCATTTCCACAACCCCCACCCTCCCCTCCCCTGTATCTCCTCAAAGAGAATAAGAGATACTCGTGGTCACTCCTCACTGCATCTAATTGAATTGCCTTGGTATTCCCCTTGCATTCTCATGGCTATGGAGTGTGGTCTGTAGAAGTTCAAAGAATGTGCTGAGTTTTGGAGTGACTCAGGAGTTCCAACTCATTTTTATTTTGGTGTCCTTTCAGGACTGATGTATAAAACTAGTTCCTGTGTTCAGAAGATGAAAGGCTCAGCTGGAACTAAAGTGACCATGAAAGGCTTCAGGGAAGCAGTGGCTAACGGAGTTCTGAAGGATGCAAGAGGTGACATGACAGAAGGGCAGCGAGGTCCAAACAAGTCTAAAAACAGGTTTGGGTTCAGACAGTGACACCGACTTCAATTTAGATCCTTTAAGTATTTTGAATTACATTTAAAAATAGGTAACACATTTACATGAATCTAAATTTAAAAGGTTAGAGGGATGTAGAGTGGAAAGCCCTTGTCCGGTCCACCAAGCTCCTTTCACCTAAAACAAACATTGCTAGTATCTGCTTTCTATAGATTCTCTTTGTGTGACCCTTGCCTGTGTGACAAAATTCACAAATAACACTTGAGAGTTGTGGGTGGTGCTCTGTGACTGGAATCAGGCACCCTTTTGTATTTCTAGCCATCTGTATAGTTTTCACTTGATTTCTTTCCTTTACATTTTTTTTTCTTGAAATGTTGGTGTTTTTTTTTTAAGATTTATTTTTTATGTTTATGTTTATAGGTATTTTGCCTGCATGTATTTCTGTGAACATATGCATTCCTTGGTACCCACAGAGGCCAGAAGAGGGGTTCAGATCCTCTGAAACTGAAGTTGGAGACAATTGTAAGCCTCCACATGGGTGCTGGTAATGAACCTGGGTCCCTTGGAAAAGCAGCCAGTGCTCTTAACCCCTGAGGCATTTCTCCAGCCTGATTGTTGGTGTTAAAAATTTCTGGATTTCTTTTTTCCTAGAGAGATTAACCATTGATACTGTTAGTTTCCATGTTGATCTGGGCAGCACATGGAAGGCAGAGGCAGGAAGGTTGGGAGTTCAAAGTCATCCTCAGCCACACAGCAAGTTAATTAAGGTCAGCCTAAGCCTTTGGAGAACTTGTCTCAGAATGACATGAAACAAATGTTTCAATTATTTTTTTCTCATTTGATTTTTTCCCCTCCCTTTTGGCAGCTATTGGAATGAAGATTCTTTTAAAAGTTTAACTTTTCTTTTATGGATTCTGTCTTTTCCCCTTATCTAATTTTGATTTATTTCAGAAGAAAAGAAATGGGAATGCCAATGGTGTCTGTCATATACCTGTAATACCCAACACTTGGGAGCTGGAGGCAGCAAGAACAGAAGTTGAAGGGCATCAGCTTCACAGAATTCTCAGCCTGGACTTTAGGAGAATGGCTCCAACAACAACAAAAAAGAAACAGGAGCTGTCGCCTGTGCGGACCCTCACCTAGACTTGAGGGGACACACTAGACAGCAGCATCTTTGGGCTCAGCTGGTCCCAAGAGCCAGAGATTCTGAGGACTATAGGCATTAGTGATTAACTCCAAGTTACCAATACTGCATCAGTGTCTTGTTAAGGAAAGAAGTAAAAGCACTTCTCCGTGAATTCATTTAACTAAGAGTGAGTTCAGATCTGAAGTCTCTATTTCATGTTCCCTGTGTCTTCTGCCTCTGCCTGTCTGTTGTATAAGTCTGAATGTGTGCCTGTGTTTGTATCTGTGTTCTATCAGTCTGTCTGTTCTGTCTCTATGTGTCCCTGTGTGTCTGTTGTGTCTGCCCATGTCTATCATCACAAGGGGCTTTGCTCTGTATTATTTGAACAGCACAGAAAACATCATACCGGGAAGGAACGGGATACTTTTCAGAAATCTTTAACAAAGTTTTATAAGGGATTAAGTCCCTGGCTCCAACTGATCCAAACTGACCCAGATAAACAAACATCATTTTTTTGATCAGGCAATATTTCTAAATGGTTGCTTTCAACCTTTAGCAAGTTTCTTTCAACCTCTGTACTTCCCACTTTTAGCAAATAACACTCTTACGTTATCTGGTTTAGGGACATGGAAGTGTGCATAATTTAAGATTGCAGCTATGTGATAGCTTAGCTTATAAAAGTTGATTGGTTACATGGGAAGTACAAGGCAAGTTGATTGTTACATTGTTTTCTTAAAGAAAAGTTAAACCAACAGGCTGAATACACAGTAGGACAGCAGTCTTAAGTCTTAATGTTATGGAGTAGGTGAAGAAAAAAACCCACCAAGAGGCCTAAATAAGTAAAAAAATATATGGAGTCTTTGTTCATGACTGGCAGGGCTGTCCCAGGTAGAGTATCGTGAAGCAGTCATGACCCCCAATTTGTTGAGATTTTAAAGGCAGAAACCAAAATTGTGAGATATAGAGACACATGCAGCAAGCAAGCATTGTTTACAGAAGCCGAGAGCTGAGGAATCCAATGCCGTTCTCTGGCCTCCAAAAGCACCAGGCATGGGCGTGGTGCACAGATACAGGTGCAGACAAAGCATCCAGTCACATTTTAAAAATTAGTTAAAAGGTCAGGCGGAGCTTCATGAACCAGTAACCCTAGAGATAAGAAGATCATTGGAGCTTGCTCACCAAGCTAAAACAACAACAAAAACCAATGACCAAGAAACAAAAGAACAAATGGCCTTCTCTAGGACTAGTCATGGACAGGTCATAAGGACCCATCTCATGAGAATAAAGCAGAAAGTGACAGACTACCCCTGAATCCCTTCGCTAGCCTCTCTCTGCACATACATGCTTGGACACATGCATATACACAGATACACCACAAAAACAGGTAAATAAATAAACAAGCAAATAAATCAACATCAGGAAGAAAGGCCAACAGTTCTTCAGAGAACTTCATTTCACAACTGTAATCACATGGCCCAGATAGCACTTAAGGATGCCAAGTTACAGGGTCATTGTGACCAGAAGAAGATTCCAACTGGCAGCACAGACTCCTTACCTCTTCATGAGTGACTACCTTTTCCGTTCTGATTTCTTTTCCCTTGGTCAATAATGAATCTCCACATTCTATTATGAGCCACAGAGTTCTGCAGACAGGACTCCCACCCCACCCTGTATCTCTAAGAACTGCTGCTCTGTGTGACCTTTCGTGAGTTCTCTAGTTTTGCATCAGTGCAAGGTTATGGAAATACTTCTTACTTCTTAAGAGGCTGGAACTTCTACTGCACCTCACAGCTTGAGTTAATAATATACCTTGAAGTCACTTAGTGTAGTGGGCCACTGAACCATATTTATGCCATTTTGTGCAAGTAGTCCTAAGAATACTTTAAATGATAAAACCATCTTGGGTAAATTGGTCTCTGGTCATGTAGACTAGCCATAAATTCCTATACAATGAGCCCCTGACCTCCAGGTTATGAGGACTGCCTTCCCAGTTCTGGAACTAAAGATGTGTGAGCCTACTTTCAGCTCTTTTTTCTTTTTAAAAATACAGAACACTTCATGAATTTGAGCTTCATCCTCATGCATGGGCCATGCTAATATTCTCTGTTATCGTTCCACTTTTAGTATGTGTGCTGCCAAAGTAAGCCTCATCTTCTGATTTCAATACCAGTATAGTCTTCCCTCATCCTGTGAGACAACTTTGATGCTCATCTACTAAATTCCTAAGTTTACTTCATTACCAAATTGTATCTTTTCTGCCTGCAAAATCTAGCTTTTTATCTGTTTGTTTTGAGACAGTCTCTCTACATAGGCCTTGCTGTCCCGGAACGCACTCTGTAGACCAGGCTGGCCTCAAGCTATAGAGATTCTCCTGCTTCTGCCTTCTGAGTGCTGGGACTAAAGGTGTGTGCCACCACTGCATCCCAAACCCTATCTTAACTCTTATCTCTGCTGACCACCTCTGTAACTGTGGGTTTAGCCTAAGCTACTATCATGTCTTGCTAAGGTTGTTTCAAGTTTCTCTAAGTCATTTCCCTTCTGCTGCTCTTAACCCCAAGGCCATAGTCTTTTTCCACAGCCTGCTTTTCTTGTTTGAAATTGTATATCAGATTGAAGATGTAGTTCAGTGATAAGAGTGTGTGGCTGACAAGTATGAAATCCTGGGTTTAATTGTCAGCTTCTCTCTCTCTCTCTCTCTCTCTCTCTCTCTCTCTCTCTCTCTCACACACACACACACACACACACACACACAGAAAGAGAAACACACACACACACACAGACATGTACACACACTGTACATGAGGTCACACCCCTAGTGAATCAATTATCCAAGTTGGTAAACTAGAAGAGAGCCCTACAATGTGACAGATAAAATTCTAGGTGTTGAGGATATTTAAATAAATATTAAGAAATCCTTATCACCACAGTGCTGACAAAAGCAGTGTGGTGGACTGATAAGTGCTATGAAGGAAAACAAAGTGTGGCTGGGGAAGGAGACCTTAGAGTATTTTCCATTCAAGTGGGTGGGTCAGGGGAAGTCTCCAAGACTCAAAGCACATGAAAATGAACTCACTGGGGGGGGGGTATTCCTGGCAGAAGGAACAGCAAGTGAGAAGATCTTAGGAGGAAATCACAACTGGACGTAGCTGAGAATGAGCAAGAAAAGGAGTGAGCCGAGCCGAAGAGAGAATGGAGGCAAGACTGTGAGGCCAAAGTTAGGAACCATGGAGAGCAGTAGTTCTCAAAGTGCCCAGTGCTGTGACCGCTTAATACAGTTCCTCATGTTGTGCTGACTCCCAACCATACCATCCAATTTCATTGCTGCTTTATAACTCTAATTTTGCTACTGTTATGAATTGTAAATAATCTGATATGTAGGATATTTGCTGTGTAGTCCCTGTGAAAAGGCCATTTGTCCCCTAAATGGGTCATGACCCACAGGTTGAGAACCACTGACTTAATGACTTTGAGTGGAGAGGCAGCCCCCACCTACCCCAACCACAACCTTGACTACTCAGCTCCTTTTTTCCCTTACTATACCAAATCCATAATCTTAACTATATTTCCATCCATATATATATATATATATATATATATATATATATATATATATTTTTTTTTTTTTTTTTTTTTTTGAACAGGGTCTCTTGACCCAGACTGGCCTGGAACTTGTCATAGAGTTAGGGTTAGTCTTGAACTTCTGATCCTCCTGCTTCTGTCTCCCAAATTCCAGGATTACAGGAAACTGAATTCAGCACCTTCCAAATGTTTGGCAAGTGCTCTGCCACAGAATCATATTGCAGATCCCTTTCATTTTTCATTTTGAGAAATAGTTTCAGTATGCAGCTCAGGTTGGAGATTCACTCTCCTTTGTGGCTAGGATCACAGGTTTGTGCCATTGGACACACTCAGATGTAGTTCATGGCTCCACAGCCTTTGCCTTTCTCCCTGAAATGCAATACTCGCCTGCGATTGATTGATTTCTTCCTTCCTTCCTTTCTTTTTCCCTTTCTTTCTCTCTCTCTCTCCTTCATTCTTCTTTCTTTCCTTCCTTTCTTCTTGTCTTTCTTTCTGTCTCCTTTCTTTTATTTTTTAAGACAGAGTCTCACTTTGTAGCTTAGAACTTGTGTAGATCAGGCTGCCCTTGAACTCACAGTGATCTGTCCGCCTCTACCCTCTGAGTGCTGGGATTAAAGATATGTGCCATGGTGCCTGGCTATTATAGATCTTTATCCTGTGGTTTGAAACCCTTTGCATCACTTGGGTATCTATATGAATAGGGTCTTGTAAGAAAACAAACCACATTGAGTGTTCTAATAAGATAGTTTATTTATAAACATTTTATTTTTAATTATGTGTGTGAGTGTGTGCCTTGTGTGTAGGTAAGCACACTGTGTGTGTGTGAGAGAACACTGTGTGTGCACTGTGGGTGTGTGTGTGAGAGAACACTGTGTGTGTGCGTGTAGGAGCACTGTGTGTGTGTGAGAGAGAACACTGTGCGTGTGTGGGTGCACTGTGGGTGTGTGTGTGTGAGAGAGAGAACACTGTGTGTGTGTGCGTGTAGGAGCACTGTGTGTGTGTGTGAGAGAGAACACTGTGCGTGTGTGTGTGCACTGTGGGTGTGTGTGTGAGAGAGCACTGTGTGTGTGTGTGCGTGTAGGAGCACTGTGTGTGTGTGTGTGAGAACACTGTGCGTGTGTGGGTGCACTGTGTGTGTGTGTATGAGAACACTGTGTGTGTGTAGGGGCACTGTGTATGTGTGGGTGCACTGTGTGTGGGTACCTGAGAGGTCAGAAGAGGGTGTTGAGTCCTCTGGAGCTAGAGTTATATGCAGTTTTGAGCAACCTGACTTAGGTGCTGGGAGCTAAAGGTCTCCTGCAAGAACAGTATCCTTTTGTAACTGCTGATTCATCTCTCCAGCCCCAAGATAGAGTTTAATATAAGGAATTGACCACACTGGGTGGTAAGAAAGGGTGAACCTTGAGTGGGGCCTGGTGACCAGGCACCCAGATACTCAGGGGGTTGAGGTAGGGCAATCTCAAGTCTGAGTTCAAGGCCAATCTGGGGCAATTTAGATAGGTACAGCCTCATTTTAAAATTTAAGTTAGAAACAAGCTTGTTTTTTACATATCAATCCCAGTTCCCTCTCTCTCCCAGAGATACTGCTTTGAAGTGCAAAAAAAAAAAAAAAAAAAAAAAAAAAAAAAAAAAAAATTAAAAAGAAAGCTGGGGTAATAGTTTAGTGGCAGAGCTTGACTAGCATTTAGAAAGTCCTGGGTTCAATCTTTAGCACTACAAAAGAAAAAGGGCGGAGTCTCCATCCAGTCCAGAATGAGGCCACCAAGAGATTAACAAATAAAGGAGTTGTTAACCTGGAATTAATTGCAGGGAAATGGAGATTTTGCTCAACTATGTAACTCAGTTTCTACAACAGAAGCTGGCACACAATAGACTTAAGTAAATATTTATTGAACAGATAAAATGTGTTCAACAGTAAGATCCAGAGCATGCATCTGGTGGAGTGTATGCTCTGTGCCACTCATAACACATGGCTGCTCTGTGCCAGCACTTTATCACTCTGTAATGATCACAGCCCAGTGGCTTAGGACAGTTGAAACTTGCTCACTCACAGATCTGAGGCCTAACTTTAAGATATAGATGTTACTAGAGTCACATTCTCTCTAAAGGACTCAAGGAAAGACACTTCACTTGAAGTTTGTGGTATTCTGAAGTTTGTGGTAGGGTTACACCAATCTCTCCGCTGTCTTTACCTGACCCTCTGTGTGGTTGTGAGTCTGCTTTTGATGTTGTTTTGTTTTGGAGATAGGGTTTCATGTAGGCTGGACTGGCCTAAAATGTGATGTGTAGCAAGATGACTTTGGATTTTGGGGCCTTCTGCCTCTACCTCCTCAGTGATGGGATTGCAGGTGTGCACTACCACATTGGGTCTGAGTGGTCCTAGAGATTTAACCCAAGGTTTTGTGGACACTGTGCAAATACTTCACCAACTGAGCTAGCTATATCCTATCCCATCCAGTTTTTGAGGTATGGTCTTGCTATATGTAGCCCCAGTTATTGCCTGGTATATAGCCCAAGACGACTTTGAACTCATGGAAATCCCCCTGCCTGAGCCTCCTAAGGGTTGAGATTACAGGCGCATGCCACCAATTCTAGTTTGGTGGGTGTCCCTTATGAGGGGACTTGTCATTGGGTTTAGGGCCATTGAATCCATGATGGTCTCATCTTGAGAGCCTTAATTTAGCTTTCTGAAAATCCCCCTTGTCCAAAGAAGTCACATTCACAGGTTCTGGGGCACAATTTTTGGAGGAAGTCTGGAGGTGGAATTATCATTTAACTCACTTCAGCGCTCAGCAGCCAAACTGACTGGTATATATGACTCTACTTGTGTTCCTTCCTCTCCAACCATTCACAATGTCATTGAACTGATCAGATCCCTCTTCCCGCCTTCCTAACTCTCACTTTATGTCCTGGCCATGTGAGAATATCATTTCTGAATACCTGGGCCTATGTGCATATTTGTATGTGTGGCTCCTTCTTCAAATATTTCCCTAACCTTGATTTTTTAGTAAACTCTGTTCATCCTTTAAATCTCAAACCAAATGTCCCTGCTATGTTGCTGTCCCTTGCATTCCGCCCTTGCATTGTTGGATTCCTAACACACTGTGCTTGCTTGGATAAAGAAGTGAACTCAGCAGGATGGAGCCTGAAAGAGAGAGGGAGAGGGAGCCTGGGATGTACTAGGATTTGTAGGAAAAGAGGAGAAAGCCAGGACAAGGGGCCAGAAGCAGGTACATGGCACTGGAGGGATGCTGGGATTGACAAGCTCTTGGCTCTATGTAAAGGCATCCGAGTTTTGATGGACTCTGTGGGCAGCGAGTTGACACAGTACAGAGGTCAGGGACCAGGAGGAGCTGAAGGGCCAGCAGATATCAGGCTTAGGTGGCAGCGGGGAGCCCTTCCAGGTGGCTGGAAGACAGTCTGGTTTTCTCTGGCCAGACTAGATAGATAGATCCATTCTAGTGGAGGCTGTCTTCTTCATGAGACTGGATGGAGCACAGCTGGTACCAGGCCCGAGCCATGAAGCCAAGAGCACAGAAAGGGAAGCTGGGAGCCCTGTGCTGAA